GGTGGTGGTGGTGGTGGTTGCAGTTTCTTGATGTCGTTAATTCTGCTTTCTGTGCTGTGCTGTTGTCGTTGTAGCTGTTGGTGCTGATACTGCTGTTGCCGTTGTTGTTGTTGTTGTTGTTGTTGTTGTTGTTGTTGTTGTTGTTGTTGTTGATGATGCCGATATCCTAGCAACAATTTCAGCAAACAGCAGTACGTTTGACATGATACCTTCGTCCCCAGCCCTGCTGTCATTTCAGCTCCATTAGGGCAGCAATTAAATTACACGTCGTAGTCTTGCCCATCATCTTACTTATTAGTGCTCACGGCGAAATGGATCATACCCACAACTGAGCATTTTCGAGGATTCCCTCAACGCCTCTCTTCCCTCTCCTCGCGAATTGGCGGTTCCTTGTCGTGACGTGGTAGGTAGGATTCTGGTCGCTGCGGGGCGGTCTCTGTGGTTTCCTGCATCGTCCATCCAACTGTCATAGTAGAGGCTGTCCTTCCTGGCCAGGTCTCATGCAAATGAGCTGTTTGAATATTCATCGCAGCGCTTATTCTCTCAGACCGCAGTATTTCATTCGTTCAGTTTGTTCGCGCACTTCGTTGATTGCAGCACGCCTGTAGTGTTACTAGATCTACGTGGAAAAAACACAAGTTAGTTCGCTTCGAAGATCTGATTTGTTTCCAATTCCTTCAGGTAATAGGCGTACTTGGTGTTACGTTTTATCATCAGCAGTCTTTGTTTTCCTGTGTGTTTATGTGAGTTTTGTTTTGTTTTTAGTTGTTGTTTTCGTTTTGATTTTTCCTTTCTATTTGTTTCCCTGCTAAATTGCCAAGAGTTTACCTGTTAAATTAATTATCTGTCACTCAATACATTTCTTTGTAGACTATATCTCTCATTACGTCTGTCAGTCTCTCTCTCTCTCTCTCTCTCTCTCTCTCTCTCTCTCTCTCTCTCTCTCTCTCTCTCTCTCTCTCTCCGTCTGTCTCTGTCTGAGAGAGAAAGAGAGAGAGAAAAACTGAAAGAGAGACGGAGAGTGAGAGAGAGGGAGAGTGAGAGGGGGGAGGTGGGGGAGACAGCGTGTGCGTGCGAGCGCGAAAAAAGCCGCAATGTCACGCATGAGAGTTTCGCTGTCTCTGTCTGTATTGTTGTACTCGACCTCAATTACCCCTGAACCGAAAGTGTCGTCCTCAAGGTCTTTATTGTTATTGCTTGTATTTTATATGCGGTTCCTATATATAACACACCCGCGCCGGTATTCACCCGTGTGTTGTTTTGCGGTTAGGCGTCTGCTTCGGACCGCTGTCTCACGCAGAAGAACCGAGTTCGTTTCCCGTGTGGTGAGCATTTCTATTGAGTATCTCAGGCTGTCTTTCGGGACGTTGTAATAATTGTATCCCTCTCAGCCGGGTTGGCTTTGGCAGCAAAGTCGAAGTCTGCTTCCTAAATAATCTAGATTATGACGAGGGGGAGGGGGGGGGGGGCGGAAAATCAGGTACATAAAAAAACAAAAGATTAAAATTTTAAAGAGCAACAAGAAAAAACAATACCCACCGGTACTTGTTTCTCTGTTTCCCGAAACGGTCTGGCTATGCACTTTTGACTTTTTTTTCGTCTAGTCAGGGTAATTCTGAGAGCAGGTCATGTGTTACTAACTACTATCTCGTTATTTCAATTAGGTCAGCCGAGGCTGCCACGCGAAGGCTTTGAAACACGTCTTATCTAGATAATATCTAGACGCGATGCACTAACGAGCATGAGTGCGCTTATGGCGAGTGGGGTTGTTTGTTTTTACACGTGTTACCCTTGTGGGAGTCTTATGGTAGTTAGTCTGTTGTTAGTCGTTTAGCTGGAATTTTAAAAAAAATTGTATATATTAATGGGGGGCCCCGTCTTTCATCTGAGTCGTTGCATCCTCCTCTCCCCCTCTGTCCGGGTTGGCCCTGAAGGGGGGGGGGGTTACTTGTATTTTATTATGTATACAAATTGCTCCTCGTAAGAGAATTTCTGTTTTGTTGGGTTTTTCTCGTTTGGGGTTATGTTGCTGTTGTTGTTGCTGTTGTTGTTATTGTTGTTGTTGTGGTCGTTGTTTTTCTTGTTGTTGTTTGTATTTGTTGGGCGGGGTTTTTTCTTACAAGTGTTTATATTATATACATTGTAGTATGTACTTGTAATATAAGTTGTTCTTCCCTTTCCTCTCTCTGAACCGTTCCCGCAGATATCAACATTAATATTTACTTCCTTCTGTCAGCGAACGCAGACGTTAATACAGTCTGTGTGCTCTGGTGTAGTTTGCTCCTTCTCTCCTATCAAACGACAATCGTCCTTTTCTTTCTCTCCTCCTTTTTTTGTGCATGTTACTCTTGTAACACATCTTTTCTTCGGCACTTATATGGCCTTATTGTGTTGCAAGTGCCGCAAAACTCTTGCTAAAATAAACAGTCTTGGTGATTTTACTCTCCTATATATTCTAGTGAAGTTCAAACAGCACTAACGATTCCTCAGCTCCTATCTCACCAATAGGAAGTGACAGCAAAATGATCACTTGTCTTTTCCCACAAGGCTATGATAGAGTGGTCAATTTGGAAGAAGTACCCTATAACTAGCGTACGCGTCGATGAACAATTTATTTCTCATATGTTGTCGTAATTGCTAATGTGCTTCTCGTGCGTTTTGTAATTCGAGTACTCC